CGAAGCTTGGGAAAGATTTAAGGATTTGCAGAGAAGCTGCCCTCACCATGGCTTACCTAAGGGACTTTTGATTCAGACTTTCTACAATGGAGCCACTCGCACTACTAGAGATAYTAYTGATGYTGCTGYAGRAGGTTCCTTGATGAGGAAAACTATAGATGTTGCTTTTGATCTTTTAGAGGAAATGACAGCTAATAATTGTTTGTGGCCAGCCAAGCGGCTAAATCCACCTAGACAAGGAGGCAAATTAGAAGCGAACTCCATAGCATCCTTGCAGGCTCAAATTTCAACTTTAATCAAGCAATTGGGCACCATGAACGTGCAAGCCAACACCATCAACAATTCTATGCAACCAATCTATGAGTAATGTAATGGTATAGGTCATGTTAGTTTTGACCGTTGTGTTGGAAATTTTAATTTTGCAGGTGGAAATTTTATGGAGCAATGCAATTTTGTGGGGAATCAATTCCAAGGAAGGCAGGTCAACAACCCTTACTCCAACGATGGAGAAATTACCCCAATTTTTCATGGAGTAGCAATAACAACAATGCTGGCAGTTCTAGTTTCCAAAACAACAACATGCCTAGACAACAAGGACCACCAGGATTCCAGCCACATCCTCAGCAGGATAGATCAACTTCTTTTGAAGCCAAGCTAGATAAATTTATGGACATGATGAGTAGCAAGATGAACAGCCAGGATGAGGCCCAGAGAAGGATGGAAGCTAAATTTGATCAAATTGCAAAGAACCATTCGTCTTCAATTCACAACTTGGAGGTGCAGATAGGCCAAGAATTGGAGGTGCAGATAAGCCAACTAGCCAATGCTGTTTTGGCTAGGAACCAAGGTAATTTACCAAGCAACACTAAGACTAATCCAAGGGAGCGGCTCAAAGCAATTTCACTAAGGAGTAGGAAAGTGCTGGAGCCAAAGCAAGATGTGYAAAGTAAGAGGGCAGGTACAGATGTTGAGAGTCCTTCATCAACCAATGMTGAAATCTATGATGAAGAAACCAGTGATAAGTCAGAGGAGAACCAAGGTGACAAGGGGAATCACTCTAATGCCCAACCTTCACCCCATGTCACACGAATCCCTTTTCCTCAAAGACTGAAGAAGTAGCAGAATGAACAAAAATTTTCCAAATTTTTGGATATTTTTAAGAAGCTACAAATCAATATTCCTTTTGCTGAGGCTCTTGCCCAAATGCCTCAATATGCTAAATTTTTGAAGGAGATCATCACTAGTAAGAGGAGATGGGAGGATGACCAAACTGTATCATTGACTGAAAAGTGCACTTCAATCATTACCAGCAAGATGCCTGCCAAATTGAAAGACCCAGGGAGTTTTACAATTCCATGTGTTGTTGGTAGCATCGAGTTTCCTAATTGTTTGTATGATTTAGGTGCTAGCATTAATTTGATGCCTTTGTCTATTTTTAGGAAACTTGGTCTTGGAGAAGTGAAACCTACCTTGATGACTTTGCAGCTGGCAGATCATTCCATCAAGAAACCTCATGGCGTGGTTGAGGATGTACATGTGAAAGTGGACAAGTTCATATTTCCTATGGACTTTGTTGTGCTAGATTTTGAGGAGGATCGTGATTGCACCTTGATCCTTGGCTGACCGTTTCTAAATACAGGGAAGGCTTTGGTTGACATGTATGAAGGGAAACTGATCCTTCGAATTGGTGATGACAAAGTGGAGTTTAACATGTCCAAGGCTATGAAGCATCCTATGGAGGAAGAACTTTGTATGAGAATTGATGTGATCGATTCATGTGTGAAAGAAGTATGCCAAGTTAGTGAGGTAGAACAAGACTTTGAAGATGATGCAACGGATGGCAATACTTGTGACACTGAACCTTTTGCTAAACCTGAATTACTAGTAAGAAGTGTTAACCCCACTCCTCCTTCTATTGAGCAGCCACCTAAGCTTGACTTGAAACTTTTACCATCACATTTGAGGTATGCATTCTTATATTTCGATTTAGGGCACGAAAGGAGGCGTTAGGTGAAAAACAAGGCAAATCGGGTAATTTTGCACAGTTTCGGTGCCACGTGGTAATTTGGGCATAACTCTCCCATCCGGACTCCGAATGAGATGATTCAAGGATGCATTGGAAAGAAAAGGAAAATCTATATAACTTTCATGTTTTGCGTTTTGATAGATTTGGACTGCATCGATGTCAAAATCATGCCCGAAGACCAATTCGCAGAGAAGCCCCAGTTCGCTGGAGAAGACCAGCCCAATTCAGCATGCAGTAGTAGGGCCCACWCACCACTCCTAATAGAATTCAGCTAAGAGTCTTAATCAGATCTGATTTTTATTGTAATCTTAAAGAAAGAAAAGAATTAGAGTCCAACTTAGTTAAGATTTTCTATTTAGAGATAAGGATAAGGTTAGATCTAAATTAAGCCTTATCCCATTAGGAGATAAGACTTTCTATTTTTGAGAAGGAACTCCTAAGAGGAGTTGGAAACAGCCCCTCCCCCTAAGGCTATAAAAAGGGGGGCGGACTAGCAAGGAGGCACCACTCAACCTTGGGGACAAGAACTCAGCAAGCAAGGGAGAAAGAAAG